GCTAAGACGTTTGATGGTCCAAGCGCACAATTCCATGTTTTCAGATTCCCTGCAAAACCGACTCATAGGAATCCCCCAAATAAACGGACCAAACGGACATTTGTCCGTCTGTCCGATCGGACGTGTCAAACATGGTCTCCAAGAGAGCAATTCCAACAAGCATCACTGGAGCCGATGATTCAGTGACCTACACTATGTACGCTAGGAATCATAACCTACCAGAAAGTCAAGGTTGTAAACTTCTTAGAAATATAGTCAAAGACAAGAAGAAACTTCTTTGTCCAACCAACCAAGTCAAGCTGGGATTGCTACATACTACTACACCAAAGTATATGTACAAGTACAAGATCAAGAAGGACCACAATGGCGTCCTTCAACTTGACAAACTCCATGGCAACACCAACTGGATGCATGCCGCCAAAGTCGAGATAGATCTGCTTGCAATGTACAAGGATCTTGTGGATATGGGGAGAGGAACCCCAACACCAAAAGATCACCAAAAGTTCCGAGTGCAACTTGTCAATGCCCTTAAACATTGTGACAAACACAAGCCCAGACTCCCACCTTACGGTGACTTTACCTATGTACCGGCAAACAAAACAAAACCCCACTGTCTATTGACAGACCAATCAGTTGTGGGTACAATCCATCATATGTTGAATGGAACCCTAATTGATTTCTTCTCTAAGGAGCAGGCAACTGTTGAGACTGCTACTTATGGTTCTGAGTTTGTAGCCACTCAAACCTGTGTCAAACAGATCATGGATCTTCAACAGACCCTGAGGTTCCTTGGTGTGCCAATCAAAGGTCAAAGCTACATGTTCGGTGACAATGAATTTGTTGCGAACAGTTCTTCCCGACCTGAAGCTAAGCTACACAAGCATTGTCGTTCCACGGTGTGAGAGAAGCAGTAGCATCCAACATGCTATCTTTTATCCACATTGACAGTGCTCTCAACCCCGCTAATATTCTCAGCAAACATTGGGGTCAAAGTCGATCGACTTCAATGCGATCGCTCCAACATTGAATGCTCCAACTCAAACTATAGAAAAAATTATTTCAGAAACAAAACAACACGCAATCCGGCAGAACCAACCAGTCTGCCTCGCGTAGCGCTAGTACTGAATTTACGTAGAAAACTTTCGAATTTATCATCAAGCCAACCATTCAACACCGGCGCACCATGGGCAAATCTATCAACGCGAAGGCATCCTCGGCGATGACAAAAAAGTCGGGCGTGTCTAAGATGAAAACGACCCCTGTGGCTAAAAAGTCCGTCAAG